GGACGAAACGTACAACTAGTTCAAAATAAATTGTTCATTAGATTTATTAACCGTCTATAACTCCCTTTGAGACTTATATATTTAATTTAACATTTTTTTCAGTTTGATTATAAATTTAATTAACTTTGGAACATTTCTATAAACATATTTTTCTCTTTGTTTTATTCTATTTATTTTTTTGTAATTATATTAAATCGGTTGAGTGTAATCAGTTGATTCGAAAATGATAAACTTTGTTATTTCAACTAAAAATTAATTTAATAGTAACTCATCTGAAAACATTTAATTGATTTAACGTACTCAAAGTATTCTACTGACGTAATATTATCTGTTTAAGAAATATAAACTCTTTTTCGATTTATTTCTAATAGACAGTTATCCAAAATTTGGCTTGTCTGTTGATTGCATTGAGAAAGAAACTTTATTTAAACAAATTTGTAAGAGATTTCTTTGATAACATTTAAAATACTAAAGAACAATCAATCTTTTTTTTTTACACAACAAGAATAAAATCTAACTATGGAATAAAAAAAAAATATCACAGCGAATGCTATTCTATATTATCAAATTAAAATTTACAAATAACATATTTCATTGTGTAATTGTTATTAATAAAAAATAATTTCGAAATAATAATTCGAAACAATTCCAGGTGAACATCTCTATTTCTTTCTTTTACACATTTGCATTTGAACAAAATCATGAAAAATTGGATTGATTTATTTAAGATTGATTAACATATTTAATTATTTAATCGTTGTACACGAGAATTTCGAAATAATTCAAACAATCCTATGAACGTTTTCTGTCTATCTCTCTTTATCCATGTATGAACACACACGTATTCACATATACCTACACATAAATGTAGAGACATAAATTTCGAATGGTCGTACCAGAGTCATAGATTTTCCACGTTCTCGTCACACGTTTAATGCGTCGACGCATCGTGGTTCTATGAGGCGGACGGTAATTGATTAGTAGTCCTGTAATTAAATTTCCATGTCGTATTATCGTTGTCAGGATGGACATGACTTTTTATCCGAAAATTCGTCAATCCGTCCATTTATCACTCTTTTTTTGTTTATCATTTTTAAGAAGAAAGAATTTACTTCTTTTTATTTCTCCTTTTTATTTACTTTTATTCTTTCTTTTCTTCAATTTTATCGCTGCTCAAAGTCATATTTTTTTTTTTTTATTATGAAATAAATTTCTACGAGAGTAAAACAACCCCTTAACCCCCCAATCCCTCTGCCAGCACACACACGTGAAAACAAATACTCGTACATGTACTTATATATATGTACATATATATATCTACCGTTTGTTTTATCTGAAACTATCTTAAGCACCGATATAACCCGGGAAAGCCTCCGTAATATTTTGTGCGTACAGATAACGGACTCTGGAGTTACTTAGAAGTTAGTCGCTAAAGTAAGAGAAAGATTAGGGGGCCTATCGTAGAAACCTAATTCCCGAGCGTGATATTTTCTTGTTTAATTTTATCGTGGAAAATTTCATTATTTTCTCTTTTTTTTTTATTTCTGTAAGTATTTTTATTTATTTATCGAGATCTATTCTTTTCACTATTTTTACAAGCGAATTTTTATTTTATCCATCCGATCCGCGTGTTCTTTTTCGTACAACTTTTTTATTGATTGGATTCGATAGATAGATATGTAATCTTTTTTAATCTTTATTCGCTTTTTTATTTTTATTTTTCTATTACTTCTTTCAAGTTACACGGGATAGATGATATTTCTTTTTGTTTTATCTCTCTCTCTCTCTCTCTCTCTCTCTCTCTCTCTCTCTCTCTCTCTCTCTCTCTCTCTCTCTCTCTCTCTCTCTCTCTCTCTCTCTCTCTCTCTCTCTCTTTCTATGAAAAAATATTTACGATCGATAATATTTTTAA